ATTCTTTTATTTACCCTGTAAAAACTTTCCTTTCTTCTGAGGTCATCATGAAATTCATTAGAATACTATGGCCATTCCAATTTTAAAGTCAACATTAGTGCAAACGGATAATGGAACGTCAAGCTTTTGTTCAGGGGATAATAAAAGGCATTTGTGTCATCTGACAGCAGACTAAGGGCTAGTTCACACCAGAACTGCATCAGAACCACGTGCATCTGCACAGCTCTGTCGTGATACATTTTGCCACAATTTTACCACAATTGATGCACTTTTTTTTGTGTGTGTTTAAAATGGGATTTCAGGTGCGTTCCGATGCATTTCGTCACGATCTGATGCAGCTAACATAGGCCAAGCAGTATTTTTTTTCTGGCTGCATTGGAATGGACTGCACTGGTGTGAAGAGAGCACTAGAAATACCATAGGAAAGCATTGTGATGTGTTTTTGATGCAGCTGCAAAACGGAACGGACTGCATCACTACTGCGTCAGGTGTGAACTAGCCCTAGGTATTAGCAAATAAAAGTTGATTTTCTCAAAGTTTCCCATCGCCAACAGGCAAATTAATTGTAAGGCTTGCATCTAGGTAAAAGTTGTATTGTTGATTGAATTAGAGGGATTAACAATTCACCAATTTTTGATTGGCCTATGATAAGTGAGTCTTTACAATTGGAGAATCATGTAATTTAGGGATTTTGGCAATCACATTTCAACAGCTATATGATCCACCACAGATTAGACAAATCTTCATGCACACACTTAGGAGAATCAAATATCTGAAACTCACCAATGTGTCTGGTTTTCAAACCAATTCCTTTATCACTAAAAGCAAGCAAGGCAGATTCCTGAGGGGCCATGCTAAATAAAATCTCCTCTCTGTGCCTTATAAGTATCCAACAGAGGACTTAAGGTGCATCTCAAGAAACCTTAGCATCCTATTTACAGGCAGATAACTAGCAGGGGTAGGCAAGAATTGTGGATGATCCTCAAAAATGGGCAGACTGGGGCATTTTATAAAGGCTAGCCAATAAAGAAATTTGGATTTGAAGCTGTACTGGATGTGATCTAACATTTCCCTGAAGAATTGTTGTGATATATATATTTCTGTATATATATATATATTACAGTTTACACACCCTAACAAAGTATCATTCTTTTAATATAAAGCTAAACCTTGCTTTTAAGGTGCCCATTTATGTCTACAGGTGGTCATGCTTGGAATATATGGCTGCACACATGTGGTTTCCATTTTCCCTGTAAATGCACAGTGCAGTAGTTAAACAAATGACATTTTAAAACATAAGGTGTCCCACATATTATAACTACATACCACTTACGAAATTCATTTAAGCCTTCACTATAAATTCACACAAAAGACCACCACTGTCTTAAGTTCCATGTACAGAGTGGGAGAAATTACTTTTAAATCAATAGGCGCTTCAATATCGCTGCATATGAAGAAAATCTGTACTAAAGCTCCTGCAAAAATCACAAAGATTGTCAAAATGGGTATAGGTCACTCCCACCTATACCATATGACACAAAGCCAGTGACAGTGATGCTCATTGAAAACATTTTGTAATTTTAATTTATATGAAGAGGTCCTGAAGCCCCCACGGATTTCTGTGTGTTTCTTCCATTCAAAATAATGGTTTCATTATTATTATCCTTCCTTTGAGAGCTCTAACATATTAGGTAACTCTGTGCATTAGACAATAATATAGCAGTGGACTTTGGTGTGCATTTATAATGTCTCTAAAATCTGGAAGCTAAGAGCGGGAGTCAAACTTCCAGGTATATAAGATTACATTATACCCATGTATAACAAAATCTTTTAAATGATGCAAACCATAAAACTCAAGGATATGGCTATCTTAAGGATTTGGCCAAAAAATACCCATTACTGTTGCACATTTACATTGACAGGCAAAGTCTGCATGGCATGGCCTGTTGGCCCAATTATCCAAGTTTGCTTGTTTCCACATTTTGTCAAGTCAATCTTGGTGTTATTTTAAAACTCTACAAAAACACATACACATAAAGACATACACCCAAAACTATCATTAAATAAGAAAAACACTACCTATTTTTCACTCATGCTACCTGCAAGAGTTTGAAGCTTTAATACTAAATTGAAAAAATAAGCCTATGACATATTAAGTAAATAAGCCTCAAGTTATCAGTCAAAAATATGAAGCCCATAGCAGAAATGTGTTGCTACAGAACACAACTAACGAAATATAAACTTTGATCAGTTTAGTGCAAGTCAAACTAAATGAAGCAAAATGTCTTACTGACATTAGCATGTTTGTGCTATTAACTTCATTTTAGAAAATAAATCTTTCAAGAAGTCAGACACACAGCAGAAGATTTGACTTCTTTAAATATTACAATAGAGTCTAGTTAGCATAATGCTTTTCAAAATATTCTACACACAAATCTGAACACATTACTCTTGGTAGACAGGTGTGTGTCTATTCTGTAAAATGGATATTGTGCAGAAATGGAAATGTCTTAAGATTTTTTTCTAAAGTCCTAATGGGCTATATTTCAGCACAACAGTGTCAAAATGTAGCGAAAGGGTTCTGAAAAGTGTTTTCACCCAGTGGCTGTAATGTATGGCCTGAATCAAGCAGGGTTTGAGAGAATTTAGTGGAGTTAAATTGTTCTAAGACAGTGTATGGTTCAACTTTGCTTAATGCTTAGCAGTTATCTTACCCAGCATGCAATCTTTTCGCACTGTGGACTGGGCAGCCTATACAGTCTATAATCTATAGATAAACTTTGAAAGGGTCTAAAAGCTGTTATTCCAGATTTTAAACAAAGATTGCCCTCCTATTGAGAGTCTTCCATAAGCCAAAACAAAGTGCTTTCCCTAAATATTTTTCAAACCTTACTGCTGGAAAAGCAGTAGAATGAATTCACGCTGACACTGTCCTTTATTTCTTTTGTTCCCCATGCTTCCTTTGTGTGTTGCAAAGTAGCCACTACTATAAGCTTGCTCCAGTGATGGACTACAATCTCACATTTAGTTTACTAATTTGTACTGACATTATAGCTCATCACAGGAGTGAGCTTGGAGCGGTGGCTACTTTGCAACACACACAGGCACCATGGGGAACAAAAGTAGCCACCCACCCTCCAAGTTTGAAATGGAAGCACCAAAGGCTGCGTACCCATACCATTCCACAGCACCAATGTAATGCAGAAAGGAATATGCTACTGACATGCTATATTGTTTACTAAGACATGTGTTATTTGCATACAGTTTTTGGATTAACTGGAAAATAAAACTATTTTTTCTAGGCTGTGATAAAGTTTTATTCATAAATTAAGGACCATATCTTTGTCTTTTCAAAAGCATTTTTATGAAGCTGTACTCCTAGCATTGTATGGCCCCATACAAGTCTATGAGGGCTGAATGCGCAGGTGTGGCCAGGTGTATATTTAATTAAAAACAACTCTAGTTGCCAGTACTGAACAGCACTTCTACCAGAGACATATTAGACAGCTGACCAGGATAACTAGAACCTAGAGTGGGGGTGCTTAATCTACATTATTTCAGGAGGCTAGGGAGGATGGGTTAGAGTAGTTTTTATTAAATATAGTTATGTTAGGAGAATCTGTTTAATAATTAGCCATATCTACTACACAAGCACATCTCTGTATGCAAACATCTGCCTATTTTGGTAGTGATGCACTAACTTAAGCTGACTATACTCGTACACTGCTCGAGCAGGACTCAAAATGCAAGCAGTATGTGGCCCTGTCTGCATCCCTCCATGCAACAAAAATCCCCACCTAAACAGTGACTGCAGCTGGAGTCACTGTTCTGGTATTCTGAAAGCGGCACATGCGCAGCTGTTAGAATACAATAGCCTGATTTGGTGTTAATAGTGCCAGAGTACAACAGCGTAGATGGGGAAATCAAGCTTTTTTTTTTTTTTTTCCGAGCAGCCAGTGGGATCACTGCAGTTTTATGGATCACTGAAGGTGTGGGCCTAGTAAAACAGACGATGGTGCAAAAATATGTCAGCTACTGGGTGGACTGGGTAGCTTGCAGTGAGGTTAACACTGGCTGGGATATTGTACCTAACACCAAACAGAGCTGGGGCAACACAAGTAAACTTTATCTGACAAAATGGTCTTGGTAAAAGCAAAGGAAGTCAGACAGGCTAGAAAATGATCTATTAAATGTTGCTGCTGTGAAGTTCATCCATTCATTAGCTCCACTACCTGCCTGCAGTGCAGAAATTGTGCCAGATGATTCTCCACAGAGCAGGTGGAAATTCAGAAGATAAATATCCAAGTGCCTGCAAATCTTGGTAAAAGCAGAAAACGTAATTCTTAGAAAATCTTTTATTTCCTTGATCTGTGCAAAATCCTTTTAGGTGGAGAATGTTCTTTGATCTTCAGAAAAGGTAGGAGTTAATAAACTGCTGTAGTGATAAAACAAATGCTTTGCTAGATAACTGCTATGGTTTATCAAGCTGTAGAACTAAAAACCAGCAGGAAGATACCATGTCAGATATACTTGCAATCATGTTGCAAGTAGCACAGATTATCGTTATTGTGATTTTTTAAAATGAAGTTCAAAATTATTTTAAAAATGTAAAAGAACAAATCTGAACTACCAGTAAATGTGAAACTGGTAATGACAATTTAAATAACATATGCATTTTTCCCACAGAATATAGTTTTTGATGGCCATCTGTGAAGGCTAGGTATCTATTCACACACCATTTTTCTTTAAAAAAAAAAAAAAAAAAAATCACATTCTTTAGGTTCAGTGCATTGAGCAGCTTACAGCATGCTGACAATCTCCATGTTGACTTTCAAAAACAAAACACAAAATAACACAAAAAATACAATATTAAAGTAACATAAAGCTGTTCATAAAAAAAAATTCTTAAAATTCACTCTTTTTTTCATTCCAAACTTAAATAATATCGTAAACCTGCACATACACTGTTACTAGTTTTTCTTAGGATTATCTACAGGGTATATTTTAAGGTTTTCACAATGTCTACATGCAGCAGGTGCCAAGCCTAATATGCTCCATGCAGTGCGGAAGAATTTGATCATGTGCATGTTCAGGAACGGCTCTTCTTCCATACTGTGTAAAACATCCATCTGTAGGACATATTTGTTAAGGAAAAGGAAAGATGACATCCAGCAGACCATTACATAAGCAGGTAACTAATAGTCATGTTCATGGACCTATTAAAAATTATTTCCAGGTGTTAATGAAGACCCTTTCTGGAAAAAACAGGATCTTACAAAGTAACATATCATTTAAAATACAGCATTTAATTGTCCTTTTCTACCATCTTGACATCTTATTATACAGCTCTGCTATATATCAATTTAAAGTTGAATATGAATAAAAGCAGAACATATGGTAAATCTGACATGATGTGCAGTGGTTTATATCATAGTCCTCTGTAGGACTGATATGCTGGAAAAAAATCAAACAGCAGTGTTAAATGAGTAACATAACAGAAAAAAAGATATCAAAGAGATCATATCTGTAATTTTCTACATTAGCGAATAATTTGTTGTCCATTATATTTATTGTCCATTTTTCTATTTTAATATGTATATTATTATATTTGTTGTCCATTATAATTGGAGTGAAGAACCTATGGCACTAGAATATGCATGTCACCAACTTTCACTTATAAAGTTATATGAATAGCCTACAAAGCAGTGGTGGTCAACTTGAAAATTATAGAGGGCCTAAAGTACTTCTGCAGACACTTCCAGAGGGCCACACAAAACCAGCATATTTTCATGTCTTGGAAGGACAATGTGTCAAATTAAACAGCCCATTCAAAACTAATTAGCACTAACGCACCTCAAAGCCTAAGAATTTCCTGCTGTATTTTTAATGCACACTGTAGAAAACGCACTTCCCACATTGGTGGTCAGCGGCAGTGCTGTTAACCCACACTAGTGGTCAGTGGAAGGGTTTACTTACCAGATCACTTGCTCCTGCGACGCTCTCTCTGATGATGTTCAGCTGGGACTATAATTTTACTGTTAGTTGGAGATTACTCTGCCTGACAGTACTTGATTATGTTTCTAGATTAAAAAACAAAGAGAGGGTCCCAGCCCCCGACATCCTGCTGACACTCCTATACACACCTGGTCCTGACAGGTGGCAGACCCTGCCCAGGATGGGGTGGGCCACACAGGAAGAGCCGGCAGGCTGCATGTGTGCCAAGTATTGGGCATCATGTCTTTAAAGTGTACCTAAAACCAACAACAAAAATAAATAAATACAGTAGTTTACTAGTCCTTAGATATGGTGGCTGCATTAGTTTTCTTTTTTCTGGCTTTTTTTGCTTTATTTTTACCTTGTGATCATGTTAGTAATACAATTCCTGTCCTAGGGTGATAACCCTTAGTCATTATACAGGATCAATCAAGGAACAGTGCTGTCAAACTAAAATAGGATTTAAAAACACCTCCCTTTTTCCTATTTGCAATAAAGTAGGGGCATGTCTGTAGTCCACAGGCAGAACAGGACACAATGCTGATTAATAAGAGTGCATCACAGGTAGAGAGCATAAGACGTTATAAGCGTACAAAATTTCTAAAAAATATCAACAGATACAATTTTGCACTTACCTAATATAACTAAATGGTTTTCTTTTTTTTTTTAAATAATACATTTTTATTAGGTTTGAATGTTGTAAACAACAAATACATTTAACAAGGGTATAGGTGGGTGGACAAGACCCGTTATATGCAACATTATAGAAGAGGGAGTAGAAAGAGAGAGGAGAAGGCTCATGGATTAAGCAATGGCTCACCTTTTTAAATATCAATATTTGCATTCCAGAATGTGGAGGGGGCGACAGTTTGTCTCATAGTAATTTCAAAGCGATTTGAAGTGATCTGAATTCATATACTAAAGCCAGGGCGTCCATATGGTATCAAATAATGTGTCTATCGTGCAATACGAAGAAGCGGAGTAGGTCTTTTTTAAAGTGGGAGATAGAGCATGGGAAAATGGAAAGAAGGGCGACTTTGGGAGAGGGAGTGAGGGGGGAACCTGTGATCTGTCTGTAGATCTCAAAAACGTGATCCCAGAAGGGTGTGATCTGTGGACAGGTCCACCAAATGTGGAAGAGAGTACCATCTTGTGAGGAACATCTCCAGCAGACTGAGGGAGAGCCAGGGAAGATGCGTTGTAGGAGACTGGGACAACGATACCATCTCGTCAGGAGTTTGTAGCTCGTCTCTTGTACTAAGGTAGCTAGGGATATTTTGTGCGTGAAGATGAATGCAGTTTTGATTTCGTCGTCGGAAAGTTCCTGAGCTAAATCGCGTTCCCAAGCCTTCACAAAGTATGGACGAGGAGGAGACTGCAGAGAGATCAGTAATGGGTAAAGTAAGGAAATGGCATGAGTGGGAGGGCTAGGCAGAGGGCCTCAAAGGAGGTCGGGGTATAATGAAGGTCAGAACGGGAGGATGAAGAGAGGTAAAAGTTTCTCAGTTGGAAATATTGGAGCCATTGCCCCGGGTATGAACCCCCTTCAGGTATTAGGTCAAGTAGAGGTTTGAGGCCAGTGGTTGAGAGAGCTGTAGAAAAAGGGGAAGGTCGCAATACCGTCCATTTTAGGAATGAGGAGTTCCCCGGAGGAAAGGAGGGATTGCCTTTGATAGGGGTCATTGGGCCTATGTATCGCGAGACCCTGCCATCTTTCAAAAGAGTGTCCCAGATCTTCAATAAAAGGAGGAATGCAGAATGGTAGGTGATGTGCGCGTGGTCTAAGGGAGGGTAGAATCCAAGGTAGGGAAAATGGCAAGAGTGGAGAGATGTTGGCCTCCAAGGCTACCCAGAGCTTGTGTTCAATGTGGAAAGCACGATCTATATGAGTCAAGAGAGATGCTCTGTGGCAGTGTTGTAAGTCCGGTAGCCCTAGTCCCCCAGATTCCCTACTGCAGATGAGAATTGAGTATCGTAATCTAGCTGGTTTATGTGCCCAGATGTATTTGAGGAGAGAGGACTTCAGTTGTTTAAAGAAGGAGGCGGGAAGAGGGATAGGTATGGTTTGGAAGAGGTAGAGGAATCGGGGTAGGACATCCATTTTAAAAAGAGACATACGGCCCAGCCAGGAATGTTTAAAGGAGCCACAAATTTAACTATCTACCCCTGTGTAGCAGGGGTAGATAGTTAAGTTTGTATAAGTCTTCAAGGCTGGGGGGTATAAGAATCCCCAAGTACTTAATATGATGGCTTTGCCATGGGAAAGGAAACTGGTTTTGCAGCTGCGAAGCCTCAGTAGAAGGTAGAGAGATGTTAAGAGCTTCGGTTTTATGTAGGTTAACTTTGAAATAGCTGACTTTATTAAATTTGCGAAATTCTTCTAGGAGGGATGGGAAAGCAGTTCTGGGATTTTTAACATATAGGAGTAAATCGTCTGCATAGAGACTCATTTTATGTTTGTCATTTGCAATGGGGATCCCTTGTATGGATGGGTTCAGTCTAATGGCCTCTGCAAGGTGTTCCATAGCAAGAACATATAGATACGGTGACAGAGGACATTCTTGGCGGGTACCATTATGTATGTGGATGGGTTCTGATAGAAGGCCGTTGACGTGAACTCTGGCAATGGGGCAATGGTATAGGGCTTTGATGTGTGAGAGGAAAGTGGAAGGGGTGCCAATTTGTTCAAGGGTGTTGAAGAGAAAGTCCCAATTTAGGCGATCAAAAGCCTTCTCTGCGTCGACTGAGAGAAGGCATAGAGGAATCTTTCGGGATCTAATATGTTGGAGTAAAGTCAGGGTTTTTATTGTATTATCCCTAGCTTCGCTATAGGGGATGAATCCAACCTGTTCCCGGTGGATCAGGGAGGGTATATATTGTCCCAGTCTGTTAGCGAGGAGCTTAGCAAATATTTTCATGTCAACATTGATTAACAATATAGGTCTATAGCTGGAACAGAGGGAAGGATACTTGTCGGCTTTTAGTATAAGTGATGTGGGCTTCTTGGGATTGAGGGGTGAATTTACAGTCACTGGAGATGGAGTTAAAGGTCTGCTTGAGAATAGGGGTCAGTGAGTCTTTGAAATGTTTATAGAAGGAGCCAGTGTATCCATCTGGACCTGGACTTTTGCCGGGTTTAAGGTTTAGAATAGCACCTAATATTTCTTCTTGGGTGAAGGGGTGGCTGATGGCTATTTTGGCGTCTTTAGATAAAGTTGGGAGAGGGGTAGATTGGATGTAATGGTGTATATCAGAATGTGTCGGAGGGGTGGAAGATGTTGAGGGTTGCGTGTGTAGATTCTATAGGTCCGAGTAATAGGAGTGAAAGGCCTTCGCGATGAGTTCTGGGTTGTGGACCAACTGGGAGGAGGCGGAAATTATTTTGGGGATAAACGTTCTAGTTCGTTTTGTGCAGATCGAGCGGGCGACCATGCGGCTGCATTTGTCGCCATGTTCGTAAAAGGATCTCTTAAAAGAGTCTCTATGTTTTAGATCAGCTTGAGCTAGAACTAAACAAAGTTGTGCACGTTTTTGGGTAAGTGTTTGAAGGAGAATCGAGTCGTTATTGGATTTATGTCTGGTTTCTAAAGAGAGAATCACTTCATAGGAGTGTAGAGCCGCCGATTTTTCTTTTTTTCAGTCGGGAGCCATGTGACATGAGGGTACCTCTGAGGAGGCATTTGAGGGCTTCCCATCGAGTTGGTAGGTCTTGAGCATGTATGAGGATGAAGTCTGAGATTGTGCGTTGTACTGTCCCAACCGTAGTTGGATCCTGAAGAAGGTATTCGTTGAGGTGCCAAGTAGGGGTATTCTTCGCAGTGCCCGGGATAGAAAGGGAAATAGGGTAGTGACCAGACCAAATTTGCGAGTCAATAGAGGCTTTGGGACTCCAGGTGAGTGAGTGGTGAAATATGAAGAAAAAGGTCAATTCTGCTATGCGTCTTGTGTGGGTGAGAATAGAAGGTATAATCCCTTGTAGAGGGATGAAGGATTCTCCAAATGTCGATCAGTTGGAGGCCGTGTAACTTCTTTTTTAGTTTGTTAAGGGAAGAGAGGGGGATATGGAATTTCCCAGTAGAGGAATCTAGTGAGGGGTCAATTGTGAAGTTAAAATCACCCCCTAAGATCAATATGC